AGCAAACGATACTGAAAAAATAAAATAAAATATAAGATGAGATCAAGGCCGAAATATAAAAGCTAAAATGGACCTAAACACATTAAATCTAGCCCAAAGAAAAGCCCATTAAGTCTGATATTTTTAACACCAACTTGAGTGGTAGAAATAAATAAAAAGATAGGGCAAAGAAGCAGAGAAGCAAAAGCGTGGAAGTTTACAAAGCCTTTCAAAAACCTCTCACTCTCTCTCACCTTATCTCCTTCCTCCTCCTTCTCCTCTCCTCTCCTCTCCGTCGAGCTACTACTACTATCTCCAAAAATGGCGTCGACGGTAGGAGTTCCATCACTATACCAAGTCCCTCACCTTGAAATCTCCAAACCCAATTCCAAAAAGAGGTCTAATTGCTTATCTTTATCTCTAGATAAGCCTTTCTTCACTCCCTTGTCTCTTGTTCGTAGAACTCGTCTTATCCACTCTTCTTCTCTTCTTGTTCCTTCTGCTGTTGCTACTCCTAACTCTGTTTTGAGTGAAGAGGCTTTCAAAAGTCTTGGCCTTTCTGACCATGACGAATTCGACTCTGACGGTGACAACAACGTTGAAGCTGATGATGGTGAAGAGCTCGCTATCTCTAAACTTAGTTTGCCTCAGCGTCTTGAAGAGTCTCTTGAGAAACGTGGTATCACTCATCTCTTCCCCATTCAGGTTTGTGTTCTGTCTCTCTTTCTCTTTTGGATAAGTTTTGCTTAGGTTTCGTTTCCGATTTCGAAATTGTTTAAAAATGGTTCCTTTATGGATAAGGTTGCTTAGGTTTCCAATATACCTCATTTCCAATTTCAAAAATTCTGTAAAAATGGTTCCTTTATGGATAATCTGAGAGATGTTTATACTTATCTGTGTTTGGTTTAAAAGCAGAATCATTGATATGTTTGAGTCTTTATTGATATGATGTTTTTGGGTATCTGTGTTTATGAAGAGAGCTGTGTTGGTACCTGCACTTGAAGGACGAGATATTATAGCTCGTGCAAAGACAGGAACTGGGAAGACTTTAGCTTTTGGTATCCCTATCATTAAACGACTCACTGAACAAGCTGGAGACTACACTGCGTTCAGGTCTTTGTTTGTTTGCTTTGGTATACCATTTGTTTTCATTGACCTTTCCATTGGACTTTGCTAAAGGTTTAGTTTTTATTGTTGTTGTTATGGAGTAGGAGGTCTGGTCGTCTTCCTAAGTTCCTTGTCCTTGCACCGACTCGTGAACTGGCTAAGCAAGTGGAGAAGGAGATTAAGGAGTCTGCACCTTATTTGAGCACTGTTTGTGTATATGGTGGGGTTTCTTACACCATTCAGCAGAGTGCTCTGACTCGTGGTGTTGATGTTGTTGTTGGAACTCCTGGAAGAATCATTGACTTGATTGAAGGAAGGAGTCTCAAATTGGGAGAAGTTGAGTATTTGGTTCTTGATGAAGCTGATCAGATGCTTGCTGTTGGGTTCGAGGAGGCTGTGGAGTCAATTCTTGAGAATCTTCCAACGAAACGACAAAGCATGCTTTTCTCAGCAACTATGCCTACTTGGGTCAAGAAGTTGGCAAGGAAGTACCTTGACAATCCCTTGAATATCGATCTGGTAAAAGCTTCCCTAGCTTGTCTCTTTGTTACTTCTCAATTTTTTAGGTAGACTCAGATGCTTAATAGTATCTTCTTGTTTGTTTTATTGGATTGGTAGGTTGGCGACCAAGATGAGAAGCTTGCTGAGGGGATCAAACTTTATGCAATCGCAACCACATCTACATCAAAACGCACTATTCTGAGCGACCTTATAACAGTAAGACTCAGCTGATAGTTTGGTGTTTTCTAAACATGGTTTATGATTGAATTGGTTCTTTAGCTCTATATTGATAATTTCTATTTTCAAATTCTGAAGGTATATGCGAAGGGAGGCAAGACCATTGTTTTTACCCAAACGAAAAGAGATGCAGACGAGGTCTCTTTGGCATTGTCAAACAGTATAGCTTCCGAAGCACTTCATGGAGATATATCTCAGCATCAAAGAGAGAGAACTCTCAATGGTTTTCGCCAAGGGAAATTCACAGTTCTAGTTGCCACTGACGTTGCATCTCGTGGACTTGATATCCCTAACGTAGATCTGGTAAGTTTTAAAAAGTCTCAGTACATAGTTTTTCCTCTTTTATGGCATGTCTGTCTGTTTGTTCTGACATTTTCGTCTACAGGTTATTCACTATGAACTTCCTAATGACCCAGAGACTTTTGTGCACCGTTCTGGTCGTACTGGGCGTGCAGGGAAAGAAGGCTCTGCCATTCTCATGCACACCAGCAGCCAAAAGAGAACAGTGAGGTCTCTAGAGCGTGACGTAGGCTGCCATTTTGAATTTATCAGCCCACCAACCGTTGGAGACTTGTTGGAATCTTCAGCTGACCAAGTGGTGGCCACTCTAAATGGTGTTCACCCTGACTCAATAAAGTTTTTCTCAGCAACTGCTCAAAAGCTATTTGAGGAAAAAGGAACAGATGCTTTAGCTGCAGCTCTAGCTCACCTAAGTGGTTTCTCTCAGCCGCCTTCATCGAGATCTCTCCTCAGTCATGAGAAGGTTTAATTCTTAATCATGCTTTAAGATCCAAGAAAGCAAATGAGAGGGCACTGACTTTCTTAAAGTGTTTCTTGAGACTCCTATAAGCTTCAGTATCCACTATATAACAACTCTTATCATGAACTAAAGTTAATTTTTGACTGCAGGGATGGGTAACTTTGCAATTGATACGTGATCCAGCAAACTCTAGAGGCTTCTTTTCTGCGAGGTCTGTCACTGGTTTCCTTTCCGATGTCTACCGATCAGCTGCAGATGAAGTTGGAAAGATCTTCTTGATAGCAGATGACAGGGTCAGTATTTTTGAAATGATCGTTATACTAGCCGTCTTTTCAAAACTATCCTCTTTTTAAAATTTCTGATGCTGCTATATATCAGGTCCAAGGAGCTGTTTTTGATCTGCCAGAGGAAATCGCACAGAGGCTCCTCGAAAAAGAAGTGCCAGAAGGAAACAGTTTATCCATGATAACAAAGGTATTGATCTGGCCTTCTCTTAATTTCACTCTTTTGATACAACCATACTCATTACAAGACCCTTTGTGACTAACACTTCACATCTTGGGTTTTGATTGTAGTTGCCTCCACTGCAAGATGATGGACCATCAAGTGATAACTATGGACGGTTCTCTAGCAGAGACAGGATGCCTAGAGGAGGAGGAGGTTCTAGAGGGTCAAGAGGCGGTAGAGGAGGATCATCAAGAGGCCGTGATAGTTGGGGAGGTGATGATGACAGAGGAAGTAGAAGGAGCGGTGGCGGAGGAAGCAGCTGGTCCCGTGGTGGTAGTTCCAGAGGAAGTTCTGATGATTGGTTGATCGGTGGCAGAAGTTCATCAAGCAGCAGAGCTCCTTCCAGAGAGAGGTCAGTATCCACTCAAACAATCTGTGTTTAAAGTCTTTAAACTTTCCTCATTCAACTGATTGATTGATATCTGTAAACAGAAGTTTTGGAGGTTCTTGCTTCATTTGTGGGAAATCAGGGCACAGGGCAACAGATTGTCCTGACAAGAGAGGGTTTTAGACTTAACATAACAAATGGTTTCTGCTCTTGAGCGAGAGATCCTTGTCCTTTTTGGTGTTCTTAATGCAAATCTTTTCGTGCTTGCTTCAACCGTTTGTTTTCAGACGGTAGAGAAGCAATCATGGAGGAGAATAAATATGCTTCGGACAAGGTAGAGCAGAAAAAAAAGAGAGAGAAGCAAAAGTAAAGTAAAGGAGAAGGTTTTTTAGAGATTGCTTGAGAAACAAGGGAAAGCTGATGGATCCTTTTATGTTTAGGTTATTATTATAAAAAAAAAAATAGTCTTGGTGATCAGTTTCCATGTTTCTGAGTTTTGTTTTACTTAAGTGTTACTAGTCAGTCTATTTAAACTACTGTTTTTATTTTTATTTTGAACGTTTCTATTGTTATGTGAATTGTGATCACATGTATTTTGACCGAAACTGAAGTAACTAAATGTCATCATAATAGAATCGTTTTCGTCTTATGCAATTGTTACATTAACCTAGGATACTTATATTTAGTTTTGGTGTCACTATGCAAATTTTGTCTCCAAATCTACATATCAAAGAAACTTAAATAGGATTTCTTGCATGGCTTAAATTCCCATCTAATGAAGCTTCAATGCAATAGTATACAACAATGCCAGAAGAAGCTTCAATGGATCTGTTAAGGCTCTGGCCATTCAAGCAATGGTATATACAATGCCTGAAGAAGCTTCAATGGATCTGTTAAAGCTTCTCGCGGCTTAAGCATTGGTCTGCACAATATGGTATGAGCAAAATGTTGGAATTCGAATATTTGGATTCGGGTCGAAGCTATGCATCCTAATTTGATAGGAGACTGCGTAACACTTGTTCTGATAGAAACACTCATGTTCAAGATGTTGTGGCTCTTCTCTCTAATTTATTAGAAAAATATCTTTAGATACCACAATTTAAGTTTTCTTTTTCTTTTAAAAATACCACAAAAGTTTTATTTTTTCAAAAGTACCATAAACATTAAAACTTGACTTTTGAAGATGTATAATTTTTTTATAAAGTTTAGGTTGAATATTTACATTTAGGATATAGTTTTTAGGGATAGAGTTTAGTGTTTAAGATTTAGAAATGATTTTTGAATGTTAAAAATTTAATTTTTAGTTTTGTGGTATTTTTGAAAATTGTATTTTAGTAGTATTTTTGGAAAATAAATGGAAAAAATATTTATTTTAATGGTATTTTAGGGAATTCTCCAATTTATTATGTTTTGCTATATGATTTGTATTGACCTTGTTCACCCTATAATTCTTTGTCGTTATGACGCCTATAATTCTAAACTATGTAATTGATTATACGTACATAGTTAATTTAGAAAAGTTAATACTAAAAGTTTTAACCAAAATATAAAGAATTATCACACGAATACCACATATAATCAAATTTTAATTTATTATAAATAATGTTTTTTTTTTCATCATAGATATCAATGAAAAAATTGATGGTGTTGGACACACAATTTCGTATAAACCGAAATATACAAAAAATGGAAAAATAGAGATTATGCGGTGGTGGAAGGAGAAGATGGTTTAGTAGGTTGTTGAGGGAGACCACACTTGGTCAAACAATTTTGGTAACATGGTTTGTTTTGTATGCCACAGCTTATGGAACATGTTTTGAAGCACTCGAGTTTTGGTTCCATCGCTGAGATGGTTTCACCAACATTCTTCATCCCATTGCATGCTTGTAGACCACATGCCATCATTACCAATGCCATCATCATCATCATCTTACACACACTTGTTGTTCCTGCCATTTTTGTTTTCTAGCTCTTTTACGTACGTACAAGTTTCTTTTTGTTCTACGGATGATGTTTTTTTTATTGTTTCTTGATCGATACGAGTTGGTGTGTGCGTATGGTGATAGGGTCGAAGGGGGATTTATATTCATATTTTGTCTACTATATTTAGTATGTTTACTATTTTTGTTGTTGTTTTGACTTAATTAGATTTGTGTTATTTTTTGTTTTGGTTTGACTTAAATAGAACTAGGTAACTATTGTTTAAATTGCATTCTAATTTTTTTTTTCGCCAAATTGCATTCTAGTTGTTTTCCCTTTTGTATATATATAATGTCATTTTGTAAAAGATATGAATATGTATGAGAGCTTGGTTATTTAAATGTCTTAATCATAAAGTAACTTGGTAAATAAGTTGTATTTCTCATTTATACAGAAATTTGGAGATAAAGATACAAGATTTAAAGGAAAAAGACTAGAATGCTCACACTATTTCTAGTTGTAAAGCATGAGTTTCGCAATTGTGACAAATACTTTATTCAATTTTGAGATTGTATTTGAACAAAAATAAATGATACATATATGCATGACATTATATAATGTGTGACAACATGCTAAATATATTATCTAATAAAATATATTATGTGTAGAAAAGAATATCAAGAACAAAACACTAGATTTGCTTTTTTGGTGCTCTTAAAAGTAGTCACACAGTTGTTTGGTGTTCTTAAAAGTAGTCACACAGTCGTCTAGGTCCTGTCTAGACGCTAAGTGTTTAGACGCCACCTACATGACCGTCTAAAATCTAAATCATGGAATGGTTGTAGTGTGACCATGAAGAACTTATTCAGGTCGATAATATCAAACGACATTACTAGATATTAATGCCTCATGAATCTTTAAGTTCGAGACCATATCTATCACTAAACAAAATGTGGACGGACACTTGGGTTTCCTCTCCAAACACTGGCTTTCAAAATTCTCTATTGGTGTTATATACCTATAAGGCTATAAAGAATGCATTTAATGTTTGACTCATGGGTTTCCTCTCCAAACTCTGTGGCTTTTACCTATAAAGATGCAAGTATCTTGAACACATGGACTCACCATGTACCTTCCCTCATATATTCCAGAGACAGTATACTATGAATTATTCGATTGTAAACATCCAAGGAGCTCGTGTGAATACGATCATAGCCAATAATAGAGAAGACCACTTCACGTTCAGTCATATTTTGGAGAGATTCATATGCAACAAGGGGAACACAAAGAAAGTTATTGGTCTTCACACTGAGCGGGCGCAAAAAGAAGGAAACCAGAATAAAACAGCCTTGCTCCAGCTATGCGATGGAAACAATTGCCTAATTTTTCAACTCCAAGTTGATGATGAAGGTAGGAATCTTCCTGTTGCTCTCTTCAATTTTCTCAACCTGCCCTTATTTCACATTCGTTGGTATTGGCATCAACAAGACTCTTATAAATCTTGAGAAAGAGTTTGGTTTGACGTGCAATAATTCGGTTGAGATTGGACCCTCGTCGTGGAACCTTTCAGACAAGTCTGACGAGAAAGGCCATATTGTCTACCAGTTTGTCTCTTTTGGCAAACCATGCATAAGTACACCCTTCAGCGTCTCTTTAAACCTTCCAACAAGTGCCCTCTTTGAGGATTGGGGCTCCTTCAGCCTTAGCCAGGGTCAGATGGATCTTGCGACCGCCAATGCTTACTTTGCTTTCAAAATTGGGAACTTACTCATGGCTACGTACTAGAGTCATCAAGTCGTTTGGTTGTGTTCTTTGTTTTGTTTTGTTTTGTACTTGAATAATAAACATTTTTATTCCATAATATGATTCACTATCTTTTATTGTAATAACATATAAAATAAATTAACAGTCGTCTTCCATTTCTTAAACTAAATAACATTATTAAATTACATAAATGATTAATCATGGCCAATTTTTATTATATGATCTGGTTAATTAATCGTATGTATTCTCTGTATATTTTTGATGCTATTACTCAAATATAATTTTTTGAAGGTATTGCTCAAGAACCTTGTGAATTTTTTATGGCATTACTCAAGTATAAATTGCAGGGTGTTTTTTCTTTCTTCAGAGGATCAGAAAGTACACTTAGGTGTTCGATATGTGATGAGATTGTTGGAGTATTTTTCAGTGGTTTCTCTTTAAAGAGGCTGAAGGAGACTGGTGCAGGTAACTGCAAGGATTGTCTCAAGATTATTTCATTTCAAGGAATATTGAAAATGTTATGCAAGAAGCATAATGTAAAAAGATTATCTCAAGGCAAGAATGTGCAACTTAAGAGGTCCTAGAAGGATACCAGTGCAAGGGTAAATAATCTATGTTATTATATTTCTAATGTTTTCTATGTCTAAGACCCCGATTAAACGTTTTAGGACTGTATGCCTAAGACCCCGATTAAACGTTTTTGGACTGTATGCCTAGAACTATCAACACAATAGCTTTTCTATGATACTGGCCTAATTTATTTTTTGATTGCATGTTCCTTTGTACATTTATGCTTCCAATTCCAAACATGTTATACCACAAGTTACCCAAGAACTAAAACAATGCCAACAAAATACACATTAGTTCATTATTTATCTAGTATTTATTATAAAATCGCATGAATTTAATTGTATGAAATTACAATATGCCAATCGCGGATTGAACAACAAAAATCCACATCAAATACAAAAATTTTGAAACAAAAACAAAAATTATATAATAGGTAAAAGGTGTATAGTAATAATAATAATAACAGTAAATCATATGGTTAATAATAAGGAAAAAAATAATACGGCTAAGCAGAGACTTCCTTGGTAATGAAAGATGCAAAGCTCAGCTTCCTGCAAAGATTTTTAAACATAATCATACTTTTGTCCTCTTAAGTTAACTTACAGAACCAGATACCATATACAATTAATAAGTCTGTATTCTCTAACAAGCATCAGCTTCCACACACTTTATTCCAGATTCTTAAGTTAACCTTTCACTTTTACAGGTCAAAACATGAGTTGGATTTGAACATAAAATATGAAAAAGTGATCATCATTGACTGATGTGTACATACCTGATCAATTTATCGAGTTTTCGGTATTCTGTTTACGACGCTGCTGCTGCCTAGGCTTCGACCTAAATAAAATGTTCACAGAATCATTAACTTGAGAATCTATATAAGTTAGCTTTAGTGATTAGATAATGGCATTATATCAAGCTGCTTGGCCTATAGTGTTATCATTGTGCCAAGCAATTTTAGAATGGAATTGCGAAAAACAAAGAAACTTGGATCAATGTTTATGCAAATGCATTATTCTTTATCTTACAGAACAGTCATAAATCCATGATTCAGACCATGTTTAAACATCAGTTACACACGCCTCTACATTACAGGTGGTTCATAGGAATGTTTTGTTTCCTTTGTGACTACTTAGAGAATGGAACAACTATTGATTTTTACCTTCTCAGCTTCAGGAGAAAAAATTGTCTTCACCTCCTCAAATACAGCTTCAATGGGCTTTGCGGCATTAATCTGGAGTTAAGTAGTACAAAAACACTTTGTTACAACTTAGAACCTTAATGCAATCAAAGAAGAAAAAATGTCTGAATATCTTACCTTCCTAACTTTCCCCTTAGCTTCGTAGTACTTAATCACTGGTAAGCTAGATTCGAGAAACACCTTAAAGCGCTTCCTTATAGTGTCAATATTGTCATCCTCTCTCCCCTTCATCAACAGAAATGGGGGCAACAATCAATATAAACGGAGCACGAGCATAAACAGAAAAAAGTGACAAGGCTTTCATATCATATTAACCTGGTTGCGGCCCAACAGGCGCTTCTCCATCTCTTCCTCAGGACAATCGAAGAACAAGACAAACTTTGGTTCAATCTCAGTCTACAAATAAAAACATCAAAGGCATATATTTAAGCAATGATATGGCATATCTATAAGAAATACAAAGATGTTCAATAAGAAATTTTAATGTACTTACAACTTTCTCAAATGCTGCACGGTTTTCCTCATTGCGAGGGAAACCATCAATGAGGAATTTATCATTCCCGTTTTCCTGAATTGCTTTCTGTAGAAGCTTGATTGTAACTTCAGAAGGTACAATCTTCCCTTCTTTAATCATATTCTGGATCATAGTTCTGCATAACCATTAAACATCATCATTCAACACAGTAACAAAGAACCTCAAAAAGGACAATGAAAGCGAAGGTGACTCTTCATTCTTTTAGCAACCCAAATCTCTAGTTGAGAAACTGTTCACAGGACAATAGTGCTTATGCATTAACATTTCACAATGCCAGAAAGTTTCAGGGCATACCCATTCTCAGAACCTGATTTAATCTCAGCCCTAAGAAGATCTCCAGCACTCAGATGTGTGTAACCAAAATGTTCAACAATATAGGCACACTGGGTACCTTTTCCACTTCCAGGACCACCTATTGAACATACATCCATGAAATAAACTCAGACGATATACAATAACTCGACCTTAGGGAACATCTCAAGGATTATAAGGACAATGCAATCTATTGCCAACATCACATAAAAGACCTGAACATACCGAGGACAAAAATAACAGTGGGTTTCTTCCCACTTGCGGTTCCATTAGCAGCATCAACAATGGATCCCATGATACAAAGCAATTCGTTAAAATATTACCTGTGAAGAAAACATCAATAGACCAAAATTAGATGAGGCAAATGCAATTAGTGTAATAGAATAGAGTATCTAACTTTTAACTTACTGACTACAATTAGGACTATAAAGCTGAACAATGAGCATTCCAACAATGGCAAAAAGATACAGAACAGGATTTTATACTACAATTTCCCAAAAGAACCATTCCCTAAGCATGGATCTAGATGCTAAGCATATAGAACAACAGTAAGAAAAAAGCAAGATCCAAGGAAACAAAAAGTTAGAAATTTTAAAGCAAAGTTGTTGCCTTTACACATACGAAAGATCAAGTGATGTAAGCAAAGACTCAATGCTGACGTATATAGATCAACAAAAGAAACATCAGATCCGACAGAAAGAACATAAAAAACGAAAACTTTACAACAATTCAACCGTAAAAATGTGTTCTTTACCAAATTGGCTAATCAAAAACAGAGATTTGATCCAACCCTCGTGATTAAATCTAGCAGAATTCAAATTTCAGATGATTCAATCGCAGATCTAAATGCTAAAAAACATGTAGATCAAAACACACCAATCAGATCCGATTTAAGAACAATGAACAAAATCAATACCCAGAATTAGCTTGAGAACGAATCTATAAGATCTAAATTAAAATTGAACGAAATGTTAAAAGACCAAGCATTGAAGATAATGACATGAATCAAAGACACGAACACATGTTTTTTATAACATTCACAGGTAATTTTCAGACAAAACAGATAAAAATTAAGAAACTTTGAAAGATACATTGAGAAAAGAAAAAACAAACAGAAGAAAGATCTGAGAAAAAAAATTGAACCTGAAGAGAAAGGAAACACGGAGAAATTGGTGAGACGCTGAGAAAAAGTGAGGAAGGAGAAAGGAGGAGGAAGAGAGATATATAAATATGCACACAAAGCTTTACATACAATATGATATTTATATATTTAGAGATTTTTATATATTTTTGTACATTCCTTTTTAATTGTTTTTTAATCTTGTGTTGTTACTTTATTAGGGAGTTTTAATTATTGTCCAATGTGTCTGTTGCAGTGTTGCTTTTTCATTTTAAATCATGCTTTTAATATAATACTACTGTTTCTAATTTGACCCAAAAAAAATAAAAAATCTTATGTATAAATACTAAACTTTAACCATTTTTTTATAAATCCAAACCGATATATAATTTTAAAATCTAAACTATAACCATTTTCTTATAAACCCAAAATGAAAACATTTACATTTAATTAGAAAATCTGAAGTCTAATTCTCTTATTTAAACACAAACCGACATATATTTTTTTTCATTGTAAAATCAAAACCGTAAACTATAATCAATTTTTATAACCCTATAGTCCAAACCAGCATCTAATTTCGTTTAATTGTAAAATTTAAACTCTAACTTCTTTTATAAACTTAAAACCGACATATAATTTTATTAATAAAAAATATACAGTTTTTGTTTCCGTAATTTATTTTGTTTTCTGATTTTAATATTGATTTATTATAATATGTTTTTATTATAATATAACATATTATATTGTTATGTTTTGATTAATTAAGAGGGAGTGTATAAAAGAGGTAAACCCCTAACATTTTTCAATATAAAAAAAATACCTACTCTGGTGTCAACAATCAACATATAGCGAGAGAATTACATAAGTATTATTTTGCTAGAATATAGATTTTAGTTTATTCCAATATAAAAATAAGCTTTACTGTTTTAAAATGGCATTTTTAAAAACAGTTTAGTGTATTATGAATTCATGATATATTGATATTAAGGCTCCGAATAGTGACGGAACCGTGTATTGCAGTAGTTTTAATAGTAATGAAAATATCGGTATATGTACCATTTGGCAATGTCAAGTTGTATGATCTATACTATTAATTGGGAAGGACAACTTGAAGCCAAACACCCCCAATTTTAAAAAAAAATTCATGGAAATATATTCCAGTTGCCAAACAGAATTAATGACAGCAAAAAAAAAACAAAAACAAAAACTATCTATATTTATGGAAATCATAATAATCTTTTACCATAAAAAGTGGACAATTAAATTCAAAATTAAATATATGTAAACATATCTATTTTGAATATACATAAACATATTTAATATTTTAATATACTTTCGAAAGTAATAATTTATATAGAATGAAATCTAATAAAACAAAATCATCATATATCTAAAAAAACAAAGATAACATTTTTTTAGAAAAATAAAAAGATAAAAAAATATGTTAGCATATGAAATAATCAACTAATCAAATTCTACATAGTATATATACATAACTGATCATATCATCAAATTTTAAAAAATTATATAATTTTAAAATATAAATAAAATATAAATAAATCAATAATTAAATATTTGTTTGCTAAAATCATGCGAATAAACGTTCTAGATCACATAAATTTCTTATTTTCACATTAAAAAATATTCATATTCAAAAAGCAATCTAGAAATTATAGCACAAAAGATATCTACAAAAGTTATCATTAATTCAATTAGTTAATGATTTTTTATTTGGTCAAACAGTTAGTTAATGATTATTCTAAACTTCTTTTTCTTATTAATTTCACACAATCTTAACAAAATAAATCTTCATCCATGGCAATTTACATATCATTACTATTATCAAATATTAAATAATTGTTTTATCAAATCATAAACTACATTTTGAGATTATAAACATATAGAATTTCTATTAAGATTAAAACTAAATAACAAGTGGATATATCACATTTAAATGATTTTAACGACTTATTACCAATTTTTAAATAATAAATGGATTATGTTTTTATGATTTAATCTAATTGAAAACAAATAAAATGTCAAATTGGTATGATATAAATGATATAATAAATAAATATCTACAAACATTATCTCACATATACGTACAATTTTAAACTATCCTTGACAAATATGATATATAAGTTTTGGATAACCGGTTGAAAAAAAAAATTGGTAGTTATATTTAACTCTCAAAATCTCAAAATATTGAACAAAATTTAACTTTGGGACGTATAAATCTCTACTTTTGGACGATTATATAAAATTTTACATATATTAAAATTATATTTAATTACATGGAAATGGTGTTATTTATTAAAAATATATATAAACTTATAGGAATGGATATGAGACGGGAACATATAATTCGAAAACAAACATTATCTGAATTATTTCTCATAAAACAAAAACAAAACGTGATTAGATATAATTGTTATGAGACACGGTCATAAAGTTAAATTCACTTTCAACTTTTAAATATAAAACTACGAGTACGATATGAGGACATAGAATTTAAACTGTTAAATTTAATTTCCACTTTCCTATTTATTTCAAATATTTAGAAATATTTAGACATGAAATAATGAGTACAAGAAGATAACGTATACTTCGGATAACAAAACTAAAATAAATCCATGTATTTAAAAAATAAAGATACTTAAATCTTTAGAAAACAAAAAGGCTAAAACATGAATCGTTGAATTGAAGAAAGTAATGTGAAATAAAGATGAAACTGAAAGATCAATAAAATTAAAAATCGAACAAGGATTGTGTACGTTAGGATTACAGAGAGTGCCTTGTGAATGAAAATGGTGGGAGCATGTGACTTAGATTGATAATTAGATTTTTATTAGTTTGATAAAAATAAATATTTAAACGAGGAATACCGGTATCTTATCTAAATCTTTTACCAAGTTTTTTATTATAAATATTGCCAAATGATTATGTTTAAAAAAAACGATTATGGAACGGAGATTTTATGACAGATAGAATACGGGACGGGGCGGGGAGGGACGGGACGGGTCAGGACGAGACGGAAAGGGACATGACGGGTTTTCCATTATAAACTACACATAAAACAACTGAAACTAAAGCCAAACCCAAATCCGATTTAACATGTCTAAGCAAACAGTTAGAAATGTTTTGATTAGTTTAAAAAATAAACACGTAATATCACTTATCATTTTCATTTAAATAATTTTAAAATTGTATTATGTAATAGAATATATATATTTTACAACTGTATGTCTATATATAGTTTATCAAATAAACTCATATAACAAAATTTTACCAAAATAAAAAATTGTAATTTTGTAAAAATAACCCCGCACGTATGTGCGGGTCCATCACTAGTTATTAAATACAATGCAACAGATCATAGAACTACATTAATGTGGAACTATCTCCTCTCCTACCAGACACCATCATGAATTCATGATCATGTCGAGTAAATACTGTCTCTAACCATGTCGAGTAAAGTACTTATCACATCTCACTTGCCAAGCTTATGGTTTAGTTCAAATTCGAGTTGGCTAGATTTACTAACCCCGAACAAGGTAATTAGTCTAAGCTGAAAACATATGTTTCACCAAAATCTCTTAAGAGAATGTATTTTGACCAACCCAAAGCAAAAAGTTTAGCAACCCACCTAACTTTAGAGTGTGATCTCATCTCACCATCACTTCTATACTGAAACTTTAAATACCCCAAAACCTAAAATAAATAATCCCTAGATCTTGGCCTAAAACGCCATTAACCCCTAACACATGGCCTTGCGTATAAAAAATGGCAATCGTTAATGACTCATCGATACTAATATTTTAAGTTTAGTTTTTTTGTTTGAAGTGTCACACTTTTTCATAAGCCAAGATTGCTTCGGATTCAAACCAAACGTTAGCTTTATTCACGTGGAAGTGTAAACAACCCTCACACACATATCGCTAATTACCCATGAACCGTTTTTAACGTTGGCTACAAAGTTATGAACATTGACCTAATTTTTGGAATCATAACAATTATTATTATTCATTAATAATAGAATTGGTATTTGACATTACTATTTTGAGGTATTAAAATACAAGACTTGAATTATGTTATATATTAAATAATTGTGAATATTTTAAAAAAAAAAAATAGACAAGAGGTTATTAAATTAGGTTTGGAACGTAAAAATCAAGTTTATGAAGAATAGAGAGAAGCTTAGAGATGGTAAGAGGTTTCTCTTGAAAGTCATTAAGGCCAGCTTCCATAAACTCTTTCTTCTCTCCTTCTTCAGCTCTAGTCGTTACTCCTGCTATCTTGCACTCTATCCCCATCTCCCTTAGTCGCTTTGTCGCCTATATTTCCATTAAAAAATGAAGAAAAGAATCAAATCAATTATTTGCATATAACCCTTTAAACATATAGTTAACTTAATCTACTCATTATTATCTTAATTTTCGATACAATTTTTATTTTCTTCCATAAAATTATTAAAACCATGGGTCTTTATTAGGAGAACCGAAGATAGAGAAAGACCGAACAGTCAAAATAATTAATCATATTGACCGTTCGATCTTGTTTATTAATCATCTTAATCATTCTACGGTATCTTGTTTCATCTACAATACTCGTAATATAACTCAATTTCATAGGTTAGACTATATAAAAGTATGTATTTTCATATACTTCATTGGTTCATAAAAAAACAATCCTCTATCCATATATATCGTGGTCCATAAACTCTAAACAAAATATTTAACGAATCTAATATACCTTAAAAGAATGTTGCTCATGATGATCAACAAGGCTACAAATAGTTTAAGATATAGAAGAAAATTCTCAATTTTTTTTTTTAAAGATGAAAACAAAATTCATAAAAATTAACAAACATGTTAGCAAGTAACCAAATTTTAGTGTCCAAATTAGTTTTTAAACTTCAATTTTGATGAGTAAAAGAATCATACAAATAATGAAATTAATTACCTGAATACCGTTCATGATAGGCATGTCCATGTCCATAAGAATAAGATCATAGTTTCTACCGGAACAATGAACGTCGACGGCTTCTTTACCATTACACACAACATCGTTCTCAATCCCTACACGAGCCAAAAGTTTCTTATGTATGCTTTGGTTTACGAAATTGTCATCTACGACCAAAGCTGTTAACTTCGACTCTGCCAAATTTGGAACCTCTTCTCTCCTCATCTTCTTTGTTTATATAAAACCTCTAGTAAAATTTTATGGTTGATGAAACTCACAAACTATACAATCTTGTATATATATAAAGAAGTTTAAAGATTGGGAAAGAATCAAGAATTTATGGAATCTAATTAGATTGTGTTTTTTGGATTCGTTAGAGATATAGTTGGGTTTATTTACTTTTCTATTTTAAGATGATTTTGATATTTTTTTCACGTGATTAGCTTGAGATTTCTAGGGTTTTATTAGGATTTAGTTCAATTAATTAATGTTGTATATCTTTTGGGATTTTTAATTAGCCAATGTGAGAAAAAGACATGAATATATATATTTTTCTTGTCAACAACGGACAAGAATATACTTTTAACAAAATTAAAAGACATGAAATATAGAAAATAATCATTGTGATAATAATACTGTTTATATTTAGCAAGAAATATTACATTATGTAATTCAGTTTTTGTAAGTTGATTTTGTTAAATTAACTGTAATTTACTAATTGGAAGAAAAACAATCTGTCAATTTTCTTTTCAATTCTAAGATTTATCAATATCCGCGTCTTAGATTTATTTTGTAATATAAAAATAACACAATGATATGACAAAAAATCTTGTACATATTATTTCTCCCCAAACATATCTCTGAGTGTATATATCATAAAAATTACCTATTTTATTCGGTTTTTAATTATTTATATTTTATTTAACTCAATAAATCTGAAATTTAGATACGCACATTAATACCGAACCAAACCCAAACCGAACCATAATCTACGCAAGAATTATTTGGTTAACATTTTTTTCGAACCGAAATGATTAGGTAAAATTGATAATTCCAAAAAGTTTACTAAAGATAGTGTATATATCAGTATTAGCTTGACACAAAGAGAATGTTAATATCATTATTAAATATGTTTATATCATTATTAATCCATACCTTCACATATGGTAATGAAGCAAATGCAGATCTTATATTTCTGACATTTTTTGTTTTATTAGCTTTATAGGAAATAAGAGATTGATTCTACAGAGGTTGTGGCCTTGACTGAACAATGTAAACATCTTCACCAACCAAACAACCTTCAACGTCTTGTGCACAGCCAAAGTTTCTTTCCAAGAAGAAGCCAACCGAACCAAGTCGCTGACCAAGTTGCTGTCTAAAGACTGAGTCAACGGTTAACCGTTTCTTGCTATAGTCGACGGTCAAACGAACGTATTTACCATCAGCAGGACCTGTTCCTGACACAAAAAGCTCTTCGCTGAAGTTTGCGAAAGCTAAGGTTTGCACAATCCCATCGAGCTTACCTGAAGCGAGTCTCCATGGTGTTCCTCTTGTCCCTGAAGCTAAAGTCTCACCTAAACCAGGAGCAATCTCGGCTTCCACAAGGTTACTGTCTGGATCAGCTGGACTGACTGTGTGCAAAACAAAAGATAAGTCTGGCGAAAGCATTTCTTGAACAAGAACCGCCATTGAAGCTTCTTTTTGAGTGACACCAGCAGCTCTACGGCTTAGAACAGCTCTTCTTGTGTAGAGAGAAGCCCAAACTTGGCAAACCGAATCGGAAAACACCAAAGGATCTGAGGGACTCACGTTGGGGATTGATTCATAGAGTCCTGCAGCTGACATTCCGGCTAAGTCCTCGACATTAGCGCTTGATCGTACAATGAGACGAGCATCTTTGGGAAATGCTTTGCTTATACTGCTGATTGTCTCTTCAGGCACTTGCAATGATTTCATCACTTCATGGATCTGATCGCATATGGTGTCTAGCTCACCGCCCTCAGGTCTGGCGGTTTCTAACTTTTCTAGCAAAGAGGCAAACTTTTCTTCTGAATTACTTTCCTTTAAAGCTAGTTCCATAGATCCAAAAGGTATGACAACTCCAGTTGGAACCTTAAACGATGCTGGCACTCCATGTTCGCTGTGCACTGCACATTCATCGGAAACCAAACAAAGTAATTTAAAAAGGCATGATTTGGTTCCAGGAATTTCGTCCCCTTACAAATTAAGAAAACCTTACCACTACTAGAGGCTTCTGCTAAAGATGCAAGAAGACCACATGCAGCAGATTTTGAACCAGAGGTTGGTACATCTGCATCAGCAAGTGCTATGATTCCTCCGCTAGGGATATCCTATAGATGAAAGTTTTCCATCAGCAAGCAAACTGAATGTCAAGTGCACAGACTCACAGGATATCAATAGTTTACCTTGGATGAGTAAAGGAGGCTATCCGAAGATGAGGAAACAGGAGTTGACTCTTCGTCATGGATAGGTATGCGTCTCTTATCCGTTTTTTTCTTAGATAAGCTATTCTTGTCCGTTTTTTTGTTCGCATTGAACTTGGGAGTGCGACTCCTATCCTCAGTTGAGAGTATCAGGTTCACATGGCTTGGAGATGCTTCCAACCTGTACGGTTCATATGATAAAAAACAATAAAAAAGAGACATGAGTTTTCTTGTTTAACGGGAGATTAATATATATATGATGGTAACATCTGATAAAAGCACCTCACGAATTTTCCCACAAGTCTTCGTATATCAGCGACCTTTTCATCGTCATCACATGTCACGAAGACAATTTTCTCCTGTGAAAGTTTATGCAAAATGAAGAGGTTTCAACAATACACTTCTTTAGTAAAAATTCAGGGAGGGAAAATGGGGGAAAAGGTTAGTGCCTGCCGTGCTCTAACGCCAAGGTGAGACAAGTGAGGCAGTTCTTGCAGGAGCATGACTCCGGCTATGTTCCCATTAGCAGCACTTACCTGTCAAAGCAAGTTATAAGGTAATCTTTAGTATGATGTTATGAATCATGGTAATGTTGAATGTAGGTCAAAAACCTCTTCATCGCCATCAGCTTTGTTGACCAAAAGAATAATAGGACCACCAGAAGTTGCTGGCAATGATCCCGGAACAATGCTCTCAACCTGCAGTCACAAGAGCCATAAATTTTTTTACAAATGTGAATTTTCATAAAGTTAAAAAGCATAAGGTATAGCTAAGTTGAATTTTTCAGCCAAGTGAATACTGCAGTAACACGAACCTGAACTAATGTCCCAGACGTTGATCCAGGTACAACGACGTCCCAGCCCTCAGAGCCTAGTGAATTTCTTACAGCTTTTAGAAGAACAGTGCAGAGCTTTGAGATCTGAAATATTATGCTGTAATGCAAAACCATAGGTACGATCAGAGGAAATTACAGAGAAAATACTATGAGTAAAATAAGCAAGAAAAGAATCTGAAAACAATCTCAAATGTTTTCATCAGATTGCTTGTACAGCGAAGCTAAGTACTAGGAAGTAAAGGCCTAATTTACCCAGCACGAATCTCGGCTTCTGTATAGGTCTTGACACTATTCTCTGGTATTCCTAGAGCTTTTCCCAGAATCTGAAATGAGAGAGAACGTTTTAAAATGGATTACCAGAAGAGTGATTATATAGTCTCATATGTCCTTTTTCTGGTGAAAGAAACGAATGTGTCCAAACGAATGTCTATAGAAGTTGCATCACTAACTTCAGAATGTAAAGCATGGGTTGATGTGTACCTCTACATTAGGAGGAAATATTTGAAGAAGTAAATCAGAATATTCTGCTGTTAATCTGCGTGCTCGATCAAGAGTTGCTTTCAGCCTCATGGCCCAAATGGTTTTTCCATCCTCTCCCCCTGCATGGAAAAAAATAAAAGGCATTTCAGCTTAAAGATAATCAACAACCGCAAACTAGCCCCACACGTCAGAGTTAAACAGAATGAGTTGACATATATCAGAAAAAGAATAACCTTCTTTTTCAAGTAGGTCTCTCTCTCGCCAAGCAAGGAGTTCATTTCCAATGGCTAAACATTCTTCTTGCTTCCAACCAGAGAGACCTACTTGGTGAACACCCAACACCAAAGCATCTAGTGGATCATTCCACGAGGCAACTTTTCTTGATGCCACATCTTTTGCCAGTTGATCAGCTCCTCCCATAGACTCAAGAGCATTCAGGAATCTATTCAAATCATTGATGCAAGATGAGACAGAGAAATGAAGCAGGAGTTTTAATAATTTCCAAACGAAATTCAGCTCCAAGAAGAATTAAAATCTTATGCACACCTGCTTAGTAGAACAAAGAAGTAGTCTTCGAGGCCGATCTCACAAAGGCGCCACTAATGAAACGAGCAAACTATATAAGTTAATAACTTGCTACATGATTTTGATGGATTGTTTAAAACAATTCACCTTTTGGCGCATTGCAATGGCAGTATCCGGAGCATCGTTTCGCAAGCCGCTATTAAGTTCCTTTATAATTGTTTCTCTTAGAGAAGCCAGAGAATGCATGGTTTTAATCAACTCCATAACATTGGTTGATTCTCCTGATGAGTCAAGGCGCTGAAAATATGAATTTCTTAGTCAGTCTTATGAAGAGACTACAGTAACAAAGTTTACAAAGATTGTGTATAACATGCACAATTTATCAAATGATGCGACTGTATGGACACATAACAAGATGCAACCAAGGGCGGGGTGATTACGATTATGAACTGCATCCTAAAGCTGGCTAATAATTGTACTTCAACATAGTTGTGTCTAGGGCATACTGCTTCAGAAAATCATGCAATGAAAAATAAATTTTGCACTAAATCAAGAAAAAGACAAGTGAGAGTTACCTTTTTACATTCAAAAAACAAACTGAGAGCAGAAAGCCCTTTATCATCCATAGAAATTTTCATAGAATCAAGTTGTTCAGTGAGGCTGCAACAAGATAAAAGAGCTATTGAATTATACCGTATGTGGGATCATCATATAGTAGTAAATCAGATGAAAGAATAAGTTTGGCTTCAGAAATATAGTACCTTCCAGCATTAAAGAAATCCTTAAGCTCATTATGGAATATTTTGAATTGCTCCACAAAATCTCCACTGTATTTTCCTGGGGTCTCGGTAATTCTTAGAAGCATCGCTTCTGTTGCAATTAGATCTTCTGGGCCTGCATTCCTGTGAAGCTTATTTTGTATGGTATGCTTGATTTCTTGCTGGAACAAAGATGGGTTATATGAATATTTTAACAGTAGCTGAGCTAATGAAAAAACAACCAGAAAGTTTATTACCTTGAGATCATGAGGAATATCATTGCGATGGGCTATGTCCCTAATTCGAGTTAGAGGGACAGCTGCAGTAAACTCTGCTTTGAAAGAAGGCAAACACGGATGGATTTTTCGAGCAACAAGCACTTCCTACCAAATAAAACCATATGCAACTTAGAGAAACTACTATGGACACACCAGCTACAAAATTAAGAGAGGAAAGGCTGTGAAAGCAGAGAACTCGAGAGCAAAAAAAATGTGTCACCTCTGCCGAAGCATCTTTCTTACTGCAAATGTGCTCCAACTCCCGGAATATAAGCCTGGAAATCTCCGCATGCCGGTTTGGACGGTGATGCCCTCCATCTTCAAAGCAAGGAATCTGACCAGTGTTTATCCACTGCATAACAAGCCAGAAAAACAAACAAATAAAAAAGCTAAACAAGGTGAATCCCAGACACATGAGAAAAGATAACCTTAGGCTATAAAAAGAAAAGAGGAACCTTCAAATAAATTGCAGAGTATATGAGCGCCTTCAATTTTTCCTCCCTCTCAACAGTCCCAACTATAACCTCGCGTACCATTTCAAGCTTGAACACATAAACACATTAAACAATAAGACATGTTTCATTCTTCACCAACAATTAAGAAGGAAACTAAAAGTCCAAAAGTGATACCTTTCTCCACCAATTCTTAGAGTTACGATCACCCTCAACCATCTTGAGAGCAGTGCCTTCAAGACCAGTAGTATTCCAATTTCTTCCAACTTCTCTGTTACCATGATCATTAGAACGCATAAAGGACGCATCTTTACCTTGCCACTGCCCACCCAATGTACTTTTCTGAAGCTGCGCACCATTTTCACTTCCCACTACTCTCTCATCACCAACGTCATGATTACCCCTCTCTTCCCCACCACCATCATTACCACCAACCTCATGAGGCAAATCAAGGGTTTCTCTTGTAGCATCCCAATGACAAACAACTGAGAAATTCCCAGAATTTGGAAGCTTAAGTACACGATTATCACCAGATTCCCATGAGAGTGACCCATCATCCTTAACAATGACGAACTTATACTCAAGAACTTGACCACCGTCAAGGTTAAGCTCACAAACCCATCCATTCTCAGTCCAATTCAAAGGCGATTTCTTTTTCCATGAACCAATCTCTTTAGCTGATCCAAACATAGCAACATGTTCACCAAAATTGACTTGATGATCTAACCTCACATTCAACTTCACCTTCGTACCAGACCCATCTTCCTTCTTCCGTTGTTCCTCACTGGGTCAAATAAAAATCCAATTTTTAATAACCTTAAACATCCAATTTCGAAAACAAAAGAAGAAGAAGAAGTGATGATACATGGTGGAAGAAGAAGAAGCAGCAGAGCAAGTGAGACGAGAAGATGAGTTTCTGAGTCGGTGAGATGATTGGTGGCTGAGATGAACTCTGCGAGTGAAGTTAACGAGTTTTGGAAGTGATGATGAGTTCCTAGTGATGAAGGTGAAAGGAGAGCTGCAACAATGGTGGCTACCAATGCTCTCCATTGGAGGTGGTGGTAGTGTGATAAGAGATCTTTTTTGTTTGTGTTCTCAGTCTTCAAAGTATATCAAAGCCATTAAACAAAAATCAATTATAGAGAGTCTCGCTTTTTCGTATTGTGGAAATTGCCAAAACACATGTATACAAAAATATAAAAATATCTTCTATGAGAAAAAAAAAATCTGATTTTTATTAGTACAACTCTACTCTTTAACCAATGAATCAAATAAAAGAAGTATTTAAATCTTGACTCTTGAGTCTTAAACCATTCTTTTCGTAAACAGTACGTAAAGATGTAAATTGTCCTAGGAATAAGATACGTTCTCTAATTAGAAACCAACTAGAGCATCTAAATATCTAATCAAAGTAAAATTCATTTTTCTCTTCAAGTTTTTAGAAAGGAAGCACAAAGATTGACAAAAGGAGCAATCTATGACTATGAATCTATTACTAAGTTGGTTAATGTTGATGTCTAGGATCGTAGGGATGAGTTTTAGTCTAAGAAAAATTCTTTGATACCAAAGTATTGCAAAGAAAAAGGTACAATTATTTCACCATTTTGTAAAAACCTATCTAATTCAAACATTGTATAAACCAGTCAATGTTAATTGGTAGTAATTTACCCCTAAGATCGAGCTATAAAAGTAGTGTTTAGACGGTAAAACACGAGTATGTGAAGAAGTGATTACATTGTAACCATTTTCGAGCGATACAAAACATTCGTAAAAAAACTCTTATATCAATTTCGTTTTTTTTGTTCGAGCATTACTTCGGATAGTTAATAATTGATTTTTCAGTCTTAATTCTATTTATGAAATTTTTTTTATTCAGCATCGTCCTTTTAAACGAAATTATTAATGTGTATGTATACAGTTGAATGAAATATTGTTAACAGATTCTCCTAAGTCCTAACAGAGATGTACTATCGTGAATTTGACGTCCGGATTATTTTAACAAAATAAACAAAAAATAACGATTACAATAAAATATCAAAAAATTGAATATATATTTCATCAAAATGCAAAGTTGAGGTTTTTTTCAACGGATAATTTAAGCTTTTCATGACATTTTTTCCGTGATTAATCTATTATACAGTTGAGTGATTAAAAAGTCTGCTAGTTAAGGAAAATATTGTATTGAATGTTGATGATGAAATCAAATGAATAAAGAAAAAGGCCTATGGGCTTCAACATATACATAAATAAGTTAATGGGCTTTAAACTTGGGCTTTTCAACCTAATAAGGGAAAAAACAGAAAGGGAGAGAAAGAAGGCGAATCGGAGTAGTAGTAGGATCTCTTCTTCCCCCAGTTGCCGCTCTTTGAAATCGCAACTCGCCGTCTCTCTCTTTCTCTCTCACAGCTTCTCTTCACTCTAGAAACTTCAGATCGCAACTATGCAAGCACCGGTCCTCGTTCTCAGTAAGCTTCTCTTTCTCTTCCTCCTCCTCCAGATCTCATTTCCACTAAATCGATGTTAGTTTTGGTAACGAGATTAACTCAAATGGTTCAGGCGATTCGCTAAAGCGTGAATCTGGAAGTAAGGTTCATCATGGTAATATCCAAGCTTCCAAGGTATAATGATCTTTTCTCTGTGTGTGTGATGCTTGCCTCTCTCGCGCTACTGTCTCTGGTTCCGATCGTCGGAGTTTTTGTTTTACAGGCTGTGGCTGATATCATTCGTACGACATTGGGTCCTCGTTCTATGTTGAAGATGCTTCTTGATGCTGGTGGAGGTAGGGTTTTTAATCTAGCCTTTGTTTTTGTATCCTCGTTATTAGGGTTTTAGATTCTTTGTATGTGTTTGTAGATCTCACTAGGGAGGGAATTAGGTTTAGTGTTTTTAGCTCTGGAAACATTGTTCTTGTGGTCCATATCCTTGTTGAAGTTATTGAACGTCACTTTCTGTGTTAGTTTTGTATAAACCCTAGAGAAATTGTGGATTCTGGTTGGCTTGGTTTTTTTTTTTTTTAATTCCCAATCCTCTTTGCATCTGTACAGGGATTGTTGTTACTAATGATGGAAATGCTATTCTTCGTGAGCTAGATGTTGCTCATCCTGCAGCTAAGGTTTTTACTTCTGCCTTTTCTCTACCTATTGTTCTTGTTATTTTTCTGTTAAAATTTGTTATTCATCCATATTTTTTTTACTCTGGTGATTGTAGTCAATGATTGAGTTGAGCCGTACACAAGACGAAGAAGTTGGTGATGGGACAACATCGGTTATTGTTTTAGGTATGGACATTCTCTGTTTGGTAACTGATAGAGTACCAATAGCTTGGCTTGGTTTAGCATTTATGGTTTTTAGCTTTGTTAAAACGAATTAATCAAGGAAAATCTATTAGGTGCTGCAGTGTTTTTTCTTTACTTGTGGGAGTGAGCAATTCAATATCATTATCTGTTTATAAGCATATATTATTATTAAAGTACTCATTTCTGTTTCTTCTCGCCAACAGCTGGAGAAATGCTTCATGTTGCAGAAGCATTTATTGAGAAGAATTACCATCCCACAGTCATATGCCGAGGTATAGTAGCACTATGAATTGCTTATTGTTGTCATGTTACCCATGTCGTTTACATCTTAGCTGAATTATCTTCTTTGCAGCTTACATTAAGGCTCTTGAAGATTCTATTGCTGTTCTCGACAAAATTGCCATGTCTATTGATATCAATGACCGTAAGTCCTACTCTACCTTGTGTTTGTTCATTTGGAGTCAAGTGCCAGCTACTTTGGTTTCTGATGTCATCATTTCATTCACATTTGTACTGATGGAAGAATGTGTGAGTGCAGGTTCAGCAGTGCTAGGACTAGTCAAGAGCTGCATAGGGACAAAGTTCACGAGCCAGTTTGGAGATCTAATTGCTGTAAGTAACTTAATTACTGTATCTTCTTACCTATGCATTACCTGCTTAGGATTTATTGCTCATTACTACATATTGAACACGTTTAGGCAAATAGGTATAACTATATCTAGAAGTGGCGTCTGAAATGTAAGATGAATAACCTTGTCCATAAAATTACTTTAAAACATTGATGACTGCATTTATTTAATTCTACAGTTTTTCCAGTCTTTTTATGCTACTCATTTGTAGGAAGTTTTATAACAGATGCCATTTACATCTCACATATTGAAGCTTTGGCACTCAACATTCATCTTGACACAGTTTTCTCGATTTGTCAAGTTGAGCACCATACTCACATGAGTTTTTATGACTTTATTTACTCTTTTAGGATTTGGCTATTGATGCCACTACAACTGTTGGTGTTGATCTTGGGCAAGGTTTGAGGGAGGTAGATATTAAAAAGTACATTAAGGTTGAGAAGGTTCCTGGTGCTCAGTTTGAGGACTCAGAGGTTCTCAAAGGAGTTATGTTTAACAAAGATGTTGTTGCTCCTGGTAAAATGAAAAGAAAGATTGTCAACCCAAGGATTATTCTTCTCGACTGCCCCCTTGAGTACAAGAAAGGTGAAAATCAAACCAATGCTGAGTTGGTCAGAGAAGAGGACTGGGAAGTGTTGTTGAAGCTGGAAGAGGAATACATCGAGAACATTTGCGTGCAAATACTAAAGTTCAAACCTGATTTGGTTATCACAGAGAAGGGCCTTAGCGACTTGGCCTGTCACTATTTCAGTAAAGCTGGGGTTAGTGCAATCCGAAGGTTGAGAAAAACTGACAACAACAGAATCGCCAAGGCTTGTGGAGCAGTAATTGTTAACAGACCCGACGAAATACAAGAATCTGATATCGGTACTGGGGCTGGCTTGTTTGAGGTCAAGAAAATAGGAGATGATTTCTTTTCTTTCATTGTTGACTGCAAAGAACCCAAAGCCTGTACTGTACTTTTAAGGGGACCAAGTAAAGATTTCATCAATGAAGTGGAAAGAAATTTACAGGTTCGTTGTTGCTATTTATAAAGCTGTATTTCGTCTCTTGCTCATTATGTTATGTGCCTGAAACATTGTTCCTACAGGATGCCATGTCTGTTGCAAGAAACATTATCAAAAACCCAAAGCTCGTTCCTGGTGGAGGAGCCACAGAATTAACCGTTTCTGCGACATTAAAACAGAAGAGTGCAACAATCGAAGGCATAGAGAAGGTCAGCTTGCTTTTATTACATTTTGTTTCCTTGCTGAAAGTTGAGCGATTTCTTTTCAAAGCTTTATCGAGCTTTTGAAGCAGAATATGATGTACCCACACTGATTTTATTATTATTTTGTTTTCTGAATCCTATTGTAACAGTGGCCTTATGAAGCAGCTGCCATTGCCTTCGAGGCTATTCCACGTACCCTGGCTCAAAACTGTGGGGTTAACGTGATCCGTACTATGACTGCATTACAAGGGAAGGTAATGTCCTGCAATATGAACCCCAACTGCTTTCTCTTTCCCATTGTTTTTAGTATATACCTACTCTTTTCTCTATGCATCAATCATCGGTTTGGGTGCAGCACGCAAATGGTGAAAACGCGTGGATTGGTATCGATGGGAACTCGGGTGTGATAGCTGATATGAAAGAGTGCAAGGTAGGTGTTAAAACCCATACCATTGCTGATATTTCCACAACATGAAACCAAGATAACTCAAGAGTGCGACTCTAACCTTCTGTAAACATTGCAGATATGGGATTCTTACAATGTGAAGGCGCAAACATTCAAGACAGCAATAGAAGCTGCGTGTATGCTTCTGAGGATCGACGATATAGTGAGTGGTATCAAGAAGAAGCAAGCTCCTGGATCTGGACCTTCAAAACCAACCATTGAGACAGAAGGAGATGCAGACAACGAGCAAATTCTTCCCGATTAGAAGAAGAGAAACAGTCTTGGTCTCAAAAAACACCAAATCTCGTTCTCGCTTGTTTAACTATTTCATCGGGCAATCTCGACTTCTTTAGCTGCCACATCTTGGTGAGATAAGATTTTGAGGGTGGGGGTTGTTTTCTTTCTCTTGGTTTTGTCTTGTTCTGAATATTAGGTTTTTTTTTTTGAATTTTCGTAGTAACTTTGTTGGGTTTTTTTTAGAGTGCGCTTAATTAGCTGTTACTGTCTTTTTTGAAAATTTCTGGCACTGAAGAAGA